AAAACGAAATGTGGGGGGAGGGAGAAAAAGTATGCGGTAACATTTTACAAATAACAGTACATGAATAATCATATACAAATTAAATCTAAATGAAATATTACTTAAATACAGAATGAGCTAATGATGAGTTAAGGCATGTACTAATCAAGAACTCCAGAACTATAACTATAACACAAGACATGAATTCTTGTTTGAAAATTTACACCAAAGTGTTAATGAATACATTAACTAACAAACGTAGTCATGGTGGTCGTTATTCACACATAAGTTTTATGAGTCATGTCGTAGTTAAGATTAGTTCTTTATTAGTACAAGCCTTAACTCACCATTAGCTCATATTAAAGTAATATTTAATTTAGGTTATAGTACATGATTATTCATGTACTGTTACTGTAAAGTGTAACCAAGTATGCAGATATATGCAAAGTAATGGAGTTTCAGTCAGAAGTTTTAGTACTTTTAGTCCATATTATGATTCTGTTATATATATTATATATTATATATATATATATATATATATGCTGAAACTCTCAGGAGGAAACTATAGTATGAAAATGGAGGGTCAAGCCGATAAACAACAAACAGATAATCAAGGAAATGTGGGAAAAAAGCTCTGTGTTCTTCCCTTGGGCCACCACTGCAAAATAAACATTGCTGGCATATTTGTCTTCCTCTAAGAGTAAATATTTCATAGCTCTCTTAAGAGAACTGTACTCTAAGGTCTTCCCCTCAGAGAAAAGTACACTATATGGCCAAAAGTATGTGGATAACCCCCTCTGAATAATGGCTTTGGCTATTCCAGTAATTCCAGTAATGACACATCTTAATGCTAGATCACACAATGACATTTTAGAGAATTATGTGCTTCCAACTTTGATGCAACAGTTTGAGTAGGGTCTTTTTACAAAATGACAATGCATGTATTTACAAAGTAAGGTCCACATAGAAATAAAATTACTGTGTCTAGTGTGGAAGAACATAACTGGCCTATACAGTTCAAAACCCTGGCCTGAAGGCCTACTGAGCACCTTTGGGATGAATTGGAACAATGAGCCAGACCCCATTACCCAACGATAGTGCTTGACCTCCCTGATGTCCTTGTATCTTGTTGAAAATCTAATTTAAAAAGCATGGAAACAATCATGCTTTCCTTCCTTGCACCACTTTTGGTAGGCCTTAACAACTGCACACTGGAAACACCGTACAAGACTTGCCGTTTTGGAGACGCTCTAACCTAGTCATCTAACCATCCCTATTTGGCCCTTGTCACTCAGACCTTTTTGTTTTGCCATTTTTATTTATTTTTTTGCTTCCAACACATGAAATTCAAGAACCAACTGTTCACTTGCAGCCTATTATATCCGATATACACTGCTGTGCAAAAGTCTTTAGTATTTACACCAACAAAACAATTGTTTTAAGCCAGTATTTACTTTTGCTGTAGTGTCAGTAGGGAATATCAATTTACATTTCCAAACATTCCTTTTGCTATTAATTAATTTTGCCAGTAATAATCCAGTGAGATTTTTGTATGCACAAGGAGTCTGACTACAGAGAGTGCTCCACACAGAGATCTGATCTCACCATTATCCAATCCGTTTGGGATTACATGAAGAAACTAAAAACTGAGACAGAATAAATCCAGAAGAACTGTGGCAAAGTCTCCAAGATGCTTGAAGAAACCTACCTGCAAAGCTTCAGCACTGTGAAAGGTTTAGGCACTTGTGTTAAAATGCTGTAAAGTGAGGATGCTTTCAATGTCATAAATAGATTTTATTTATCAGTTAACTTCTGTTAACTAAATCAAATTAACATTTGGTGTGACCACGCTTTGCATTTAAAACAGCTTTTGTCCTAGGTACACTTGCACATAATTTTTCAGGCTTTGCAGGTATGGGTTTCTTGAAGCGTCTTAGAGACGTTGCCATAGTTCTTCAGGATTTAGTCTGTCTCAGTTTTTTCATGTCATTCCAGATGGACTAGATGATGGTGTGATCAGATCTCTGTGTGGAGCACTGGCTGTTGTCAGTCGACTAGTGCATACAAAAATGTCACTGGTTTATTACTATTAATGGCAAAATAAATGTTTGGTAATATTTCCTACTGACACACTACAGCAAAAGATAGAAATAAATGGCTTAAAACCATTTTTGTTGATGAACATACTAATGGCCTAAGACTTTTGCACAGTAGTGTATATGCAATATAATCAATGTTATTCACTTCATCTATCAGTGGTTTTAATGTTGTGGCTGATCAGTGTATTGGGACATTGCCATACTAGAATAGAAAAAGATCCTTCTCCAAACTGTTGCAACAAAGTTGAAGGCACACAATTCAGCACTATTACACTGTAAGGCATCGTTGCAAAAAATTATAGGAATAGCCTACTAAATACTGCATGATTTTCCCCCCCAAAACAGTTAAGCACAAAGCCCATTCTAAAGATTCCATCGTTCATTTCAATCACAATGCTGATTGCCTACACACAATGGTGAAACAAATACCCAATAACCCTAACCTTAACCTTAGTATAGCGATGGTAGCACATCCTGAGGCCCGTAACCAGCTATGAGGCCACCGAGGTCTGGACCTCGGTAAATTGTTCATGTTCAAAAATAAAATGTGTTCTTTGAATGACTAATTTGCTGTTAAAGTCCTCATATGAATGCCTGCGTGACATGTATAATACAGTTTAGACAGTTTGCAAGAATGTTTAGCGTCCCTGGTATTAAAATGATCGCTGCGAGACACTGGCGGAGTGAACGAGGCTTTAGAGAGTTGTGAGTGAGGGCGCGGGCACAGCCTCCGTGCTGCCAGATCCAGCCAATATAAGCGTTTTTGGACTTGTCTTTTCCACTTAATTTAACACTTTAGATCAGAAAGTTAATAAAGTAGGAAGTTGCAGTTTAGAGTCAGCGATATCTTTATCTTATCTTATTTGTAAAAGATTGGAAATTATTTTGGTTTATTTTTATTTATTTTTAGTTTTTTGTTTGTTTTAGTATGAATATCTGGCAACACTGCATCGCCGGCACTTAAACTGAAAGCAATCAAAAAAGCCCATGGACAGGTTTTTGCTGAC